TTAGCTATTGATCAGCAGTGGACAGAACACTAGTTTTTAGGAAACGGGAGACTCTGGTCTTAGTAAGTAGCCCTATCATGTCATTTTGGGGCGGGGGCTCAGTTTCTTCACACATTAAACAAGGAGGATTGATTGGACCTCTGAGTCTCTTTCTAACAGTCTATGATATGTACATTAAAACTATCGATTGATACGATGCAACAAGTCAGAAGCAAAGTAAATAACATATAGAGAATGCATTTTTCAGGCTTTTTATAATATCTAGCAAACCTTACGATATTTACATGTGAGCTCTAAGATCTTTTTCGTGTAGTGTGTGGTGATGAGAATCAACCCATGGCCTCACATGTTAAGCAAGTTTTCTAACCCTAAACTGCATAAATTCCTTTTAAAACTTTGAGAAATAATGAGCTCTAGTAATGCCAGACTTTCAAACAAGTGTGAGGAATAACTATCTTATTGCAGAACTTCAAATTTTTTCTATTATCGGACTTCTACAGAGCCTTTTTTTAGACAATTGTTCCCCTAATTACTTGCCACTTACGAAATCTTAAAGGCAAGGTGCACTGCATATCTGTTTAGGTACCCTATGCATATCTGTGCTTTGTATATTTTAAGAGTAAGCTTTTTTCAAAAGTCACCAAGAACCAATTTTCTTGCTCCTATTGGAAAACCATTACCCATTGAGAACACATAATTTAGGAAATCAAGTTTCTGTGGTACCTAAACTTTTTGTGCAAATAAAAATAAATATTAAAAAGGCTAATCTATTTGACTGACAAACATTTCCATCTCAAGTGTGCAACATTGCTCATGGCAGAAGAGCAGAAGGCAGAGTGCAGGGCACGCTCATTTTCCTCAAAGGAGTAGATAAGAGATAGGGTGAAATTAGAAAGAAATTGTGCTCCAGTTGGTTTTGTTGCTTTCAGGTCCAGATGGACTGTTTGCAGAGGTGCAGGAAGAGGTGTGTGTCAGCCTGGGGTGGAATGTACGATCTCCATCGAACCAGCTCGCCCCACTTCCTGTCTCCACCAGGCTGAGGGTAGGATCTCTGCAAGCCAGGAACATGGACAACACCTGCAAAATCTCGATAAATAAAAAGATGGAAATACTCACAGAACACCTTCCCCAGCCCATGCTCCTCCTGTATCTCATATCTGCTCACCCAAATCCAGTGGTCAGAAGGATGCTGCTGGATCTTCTCTGGAGGTGTTGCCATCTGTGGTGGTAGAATTCAGCAGCAGCTCCAAGTCCACTTTCAACTTCTTTTGTGCCATGTCCCTGTTGAGGATGATCACACAGGGATGTCCTGGTGGGGAGACAATGTAGTAGGAGAGGTAAATGGAAAGAGAAAGCAAGGAGACATGTCTTAGATGAGAAGGAGCACTCACCTTACACAATGGCACCCCTAACATCAATGGGCCCAAAACTGGGCAAGCCTGGTTTTAAATCTATTACCCGCAAGATGCTCTGGGGGCCTCCAAAACTAGAATACAAATGAGAAATCCATCTCGGTCATTGCCAAGAATCATCCTCTTGCATTTTTTTAAGAAAGGTCTCTCTATGTAGTTCAGTCTAATTTCGAACTCACTACATACACAGCCCAGACTAATCTCAAACTTGCAGCAATCCTCCTGCTTCAACCTCCCAAGTGCTGGGATTACAAGCATGCACCATCACACCTGGCCCACTTTTCCATTGTGTGACAGCAGACACTCTACATTCTTGCTTATAAAAATAAAAATTTAAAAAACCTGGGGGGGGGAGGTCACTCCTACATGCTAAGGATTCTTATCCAACTGAAAGAATTCTTCAAATTGTTTTTGTTTTTTTACCATAATTGTACAGCATATATTTTACTTTGGATAAAATCTGGCTCTTCATAGCTGTTTGTCTAAGGAATAAAGCTAATTCACAAAGATTTGAGTTAAAGTAATGAGGCATACTTTCCTAAATATCTCAGAATCTATGCAGTATTAATATTTCAGGTAGCACTGGAGGCTAAACACATTCTAACAGTGCTTTCATGGCTCAAAGCATTTAAAGAACAGCTCTCTTAGAATTTTTTACCATTGCTTAGCGAGCCACATACTGAAATGGTAACCCTATACTAATATTGTAAAACCACACATTTTAGGAACCATGTAGAGAATTACTAGAGAAAGTAGATACACCTAGTGAAATGGGAATTATTCATTAAAATAGTCATGACAGCGGTATGGCACTTTTCAATTCACAGGATGTTTTCACGTATTTGTCTCAAATGGTTCAATCATCAACCCTGCTCAGTCAATGATGAATTTAAAATAATGGGATTGTCTGGAGACAATCTGTGACAAGTTATGACATGCAAGATCATAATCATTTTTTTGTTTACCCTGGGAATAGAATAAGAAGAGCTTGATTGTATTAAGCAGAATTGGATTACCTAAATCCCAGACATGCATATGAGTTGGAGTCTCCACTCCTGATGTAAGACAGGTTAATAATAGCTACCATTTATTGGGCATTTATATGCCTGGTACTGTCCCAATCATTTTAAATGTGATTGCATTTAATGCTTTCAATAATTCTGTGAGGTAGGCGGTACCACAATGTTCATTTTTCAAAGGAGGAATCCAAAGGAGTAACTCAAATTACAACTATTAAGTGGTAAAGCCAAGATTCCTCTGCTCTTCAGTATTGTAAGTAAAAAGATAGATGAGGTAGCTGTGAATATTTCCCTGTATACTATGTCTGTACTCATAAGCTCAAGATGCATCTTTATTATTATAAGGATGAATGCAAACCTGTCCTTCATGGCTGTCTTATAAAGGGAATAAATCATTTCAATTTTACAATTCATAAAATTCCCAAGATATTAATGGCACATAATTAGGTAGCAGCAGAATCCAAGATAGTACAAATATTTGAAAGCCACTGTTAAAATTCTTAGAATACCTCAAAATTTTACAGATGCTAATTAAAATCGAGTTAAGTCAGAGTGAATGCAGTAGTTAAAGACAGAACAGAGGGTCAAAACCAAACTATTTCAATAACATTGGAGTACACCAGTAAACAAGTAGTTCTTACCACCATTCTACTGTATATTTTATTACTCATAGTGTTTATTAATTAATTTTCTTCACAGGCAGTAAGGTTTAATGAATATATATTGAGTGAAGAGACAAAATTTTATATGCTTATGCCTTACAGAAATCTTATTTTTTAAACAACTAAGTATAAATAACACTAAGAAAATACAGTAGATATACTGGCAAGGGAAGAGCAAATGAAGGACCATGTTTCTAGAAAATAGGGCAGTATCATAATATAAAGTTATATATACGATGACAATATGGTTCTAGCTATTACCAAAGAGAGCTAATTTTCTTTGTCTAGAGAACAGCTACAAGTCAGGAATCTAAAATCTTATATAGGAGTCAGTACATACACAGGTTAGAATATCAAAAGGAACACATACCACAAAACCCCCCCAAAATTCTATAGATTACATGACAAACACAACATGTAAAGAAGACATTGTTTTTACTTCTCTCCATTTCAGCCTACCATTATTATACCATTTCTGCTTACCAGTATTATAACAACCTGGTTGTATTTCAGCAATCAGTTCTTCCTGTTCCATAGCAATAGGCCACAATCTCAGACCACTGGTATTTTTAAATCCATACCTTAGGCCATGCTATGGCTTTCTTTGTATGTCCTAGTCTGTTATCATCTGCCCAAGGCCTCTATAACTATTAAAAGTATCTCACAAACATATCATAAGCAATTCTTTATTTTACTAGTTGACTTGGAAACTTTAACATTACATTTCAGACTAGTTACAACAAAAGCAAGTCAATAACAAGTTGAACCCCAGACCACAAACATTCCTAACTTTCCAAAAGATTTGCACAAAGGGTAAATAAAACTAAGTACAACTAGATAGACAAAGACAATTGAATCAAACCTGGAAATAATGGCCAAAGTAGCATCTTTCCTCTCTTTTGTCCTAGAGCTTTTAAATTAAGCTCCCGAACTTCAGGATTCAAGTAAATGTTTGGACTTCTCAGAGATAAAGACTGTGCATGTGGTTAACAAATGGCCATTGAGTAGCTACTGTGAACAAAGGAATTTATTATGATTGTTTTTTGCTCAAGCTGTGTGCTGAGCAAAAAAGAGATAAAAAAAAGATACATAAATTGCTTAGAGGTTGCTAATCTAGTTGGTAGACTAAAGAAAAGTGCTTTAAAACCCTCTTATTACAAAGTACAAATTGTCTTCTCATCCCTAGGACCACTCAACTGGTGATCATTAAATGAGTTAATATTTCCATACCTGTTAGAATGCTGCCTGACACGTAGTAAGTGCTACATAGATTTTTGTTGAGTCAGTGAATTTATTGATCAATCCAGTTCTCACTTCCCAGGTCGCAGTTAGGTTCTCTATAAACTCTCTCTCTCTCTCTCTCTCTCTCTCACACACTCATATATAGGATATGGAATATATGTATGATATATAAGACATAGGATATACAGGATATGGGATATATGTATGATGCATATATAAGATATGGGATATATATGATATATATAGCATATCAGATATATATGATATAGATATAGATATATGTCCAAATGAATGATTGAAAAAGAAATCAGCCCGTCCCCAAACCAACAAAATTGAGAAACTTAAGAAATGAGTGGAGATCACAAAGATTGACGTGTACAAGTTAGGAATAAACTTGAAATTCCATGCCCCTCCTGCCCTTGAATATTGGTTCAAAATTCTGAAAGCAATGCTCCAGAGCTCCAAACTATTGGCTCTTTTCGAAATAGGGCGCCAGGGTTGCTGGGCCAATGCCATGGAGAAAGACAAAGGCCCCGGGTAACGCTCCGCCTCTTTGGGGGCCGGTGGACTGGGTGAGGATTCCGCGCATGCTCTGTACTTTCGTACCCCCTCAATTGAGCAGCCACCCCTATTGGAGCAAGCGCTCTGCGCATGCGCGGGACCCGATAGGTACCCGGACGCGGAAGAAGTGGCCCCGCAGAGGTTCCCGCTTCCGAAGCGTGGGAGGCTGAAGAGGTGGCAGGTTGTAGATTTTGATCTTGGCCCTTACGGGTTCCCCGGGCCATTAGAACCTGTGAGGAAGAGGAGGCATTGCAGTGGCGGCAGAGGGGACGAATCCTTCCACCAGTCCTCGAGGCGGGAGGGGGCAGGGTCAGGAGAAGCCCCGATCCCAGGTCTGAGGAGTCTCCGGACCGGATCCCGGAGTATGGGGGGCTGGACAAAGTCCCTGAGCATGGGGAGCTGGATCTGCCGAGACCTCCCCTCCGAGCCCTGCCCGATTGTCCAGTCTTGGTTACTAACACTGCCCAGGGAGACGCGGCATCTATAGCCGGTCCCCGCCGGTGGCCCTCGGCGGGAAAGACAGCGGCATGAGTTCCGCCATTGCCTAGTTTCCTCCCCTTCTTCCTCTTCTCCCGCTGGCCTTCCTCTCTTCCCCATATCTCCTCCTTCCTTCCCGTCCTGCGCTATTTCCCTACCGTCTTTCCTCCTTTCACCTCTTACCTCTGCCCTGCCTTACCATCTATCTACTTTCCATCCCTCTTCTTTTCCCTCCTCCCTCCATCCTTGCCTTCCCGCCATCAATCTTTCCTCTACCCCTTTTTTTTCATTCTGTCGCCGACCAACACATCCTCCATCCTTCTCCCCTTGCTCACCACCATCCTCTCCTCCTCATCAGCTTCCTTCCCTCCTCCTCCTCCCCCTCTATTTTCTCCACCCCCAAGCCTCCGCCTCCTAGCCCCCGCCCCCCAGCTGCCAGTCCCCAGAAGCTCAGTCGTGCTGTGAGTCTTGGAAGCCCATAGCTAAGCACCGGGAGCTGAGTACTGCCCGTTGTGCCTGCCTGCAAGTCTCCGACATGGCTCAGGAGAAAATGGAGCTGGACTTTGAGCCTGACATCTCTCTTGGGAGTACCCTGAGGAGGTCCAACAGCGCTCCCCTGATCCATGGGCTCAGGTGAGGACTGAGGATGGAGTACAGGTCCAAAGGTTTCTTGACTCTGTATAAGCAGTCTTCCTTTTAGGTGTGGGTTTGAGCTCTTCAAACCGAGGGGGTTGGAGACTTGTTTGCTGGACAGTGATTTGGGTGCTAAGGGGGAGCAAAAGTTTGATCTCAAACTTTGGTCTATATAGGGGAAATGCCTCCCTCCACACCTGGGAACTGTGTTCTTCTCTCTGAAAGGAATTACAGACAGCTTCTGGCTCTTTTGACAGTTTGCTTGCCCTAGCTAATTTCCACCAGGGAATGTCAGACTGAAGCCCCTGGAACTAGGCTTGCAACTTGACACTTGTCTCTTAAGCGCTGCTATTTCTAAGCTGAGTTTAGAACCCTGGCATTAGCAGAGGTTTGCTTTAATCACAATTTATCTAAGAACTTATAATCGAATGGTGTGTTCATGTTACGTTAAGTGATTTGGATTTGCCCAGATGTTTTCAGATTCTAAAACTGCCCGAAGTGTATTTCAGTGAAAAAAAGGGTGGCCTGTAGCTTAGGTTAGTGGAATTACAGATTTGAGACACCAATGGAAAAGATTGATCCTTTAATTTCAGAGGCAGAGTCTCATGTTTTCATGTGAATAAGACATCAGAGAGTCTTTAAAAAGTAGAATCTTGTGATGGTGAAAAGGTTAGTTGGGCTATTACATTTTCACTTTTATAAGCAGACATTTCATCTTAGGTAGAGAGCCAGGTTGTGAGACCCTTCGAAAATGACATTAATCCATAAAAGCAGATGGTAGTACAATTAGCCAAAACTACATTAATCAAGCACAGTTGAAGGCATAGAAAGATAATTTGTGACTCTTGAATTGAGTGTAACATCTGCATTTTGATAACAAAAACAAGTTTGCCCTTTTTTTTCATTAAACAACTTTGCATGGAGGGGTGATGGAGTGACTTTGTTTTTCTGATGCTATCCTTGGCCCTGCATTTTTTAATATACTTCAGGAACAACTTGTTCTGTCTTTTACACTCTGGTAAGCAATCAATTGCTAGAGCCTTGGATGATCCTACTAACTTGCATTTAGATAATTAAGTACTATTTTTTGAGTCACAATTTAAGTAATTATTTGAAAGGTACTGTGATATGACAGAAGAGGGAATAAGGCATATCCCTAAGCCCAATTCCACTTTTTACTCGTAAACTGTGCTCATGAATGAGTCATTGATGTTTTCTGAGTCTGTTTTCCCATTGAAAAATTAGGGAAGCCGAAACATGCAATCTCAGTGATCCTTCAAAGCCCAATCCAATTCCGTTCTGAAAGTCCTTCAGCTCTTTTTTTCAGTGCTGGGGATGGAGCCCTAGGCCTTGTGCATGCTGGCAAGCATGCCATGAGCTTCTTGAACACTTACCATGTACGTAGCCTCTACTAGGCACTGCAGAGATATCATATAAAAATGAATAAAGCATCTTTATACTAAGAGGTTTAAGACACATGCACACTTTTTTCTGTACTGGAAAATACTTTAACAAAAGGTTAAATAGGGGCTGGGAGGTATAGCTTAGTGGTAGAACCTATTCTTAGAATATGTGAGGCACTAGGTTCATCCCCAAAACTACAAAAGAACAAAAACAAGAAAGCAGGGTTTTCTTGAGTGTAGTTTAGTGATAGAGTGTAGCATGCATTAAGGCCCTGGGTTTGATCCCCAGCACCATTAAAAAGGTTTCACTTATCTGGGCATGGTGGTGAAAGTTTGACCTCTGGGTTCAAGAGCAGCCTGGGCAATATTCTGAGACTCTATCTCAAAGAAAGAAAGAGAAAAAGAAAAAAAGAAAGAAAATGCTGAGTGTGGTCATGGTGGTGCATGCCTGTAATCCCAGCACTTGGGAGGAAAGTCATTGTGAGTTCGAGACCAGCCTGGTTTACAAAGTCAGCTCAAGGCCAGCCTGAACTGCATAGTGAGACTGTCAAAACAACAACAAAAAAGATGTCTCAAGAAGTGTGTTGTCTCTTCAGAGAAGGGAATAACAGCACTCGGGAGGCTGAGGCAAGAGGATTGCCACGAGTTTGAGAGCAGGCTAGGCTACATGATGTGTTCAAGACCAGCCTGAACTACATAGTGAGACTTTTCCTCAAAAAACAAACAAACAAACAAAAAAACAAGGGAATGATTGCATTAGATTTGTGGAATGAGTAGAGGTCTGTGGAGTGCTTCCATTCAGAGCATGGTGTTTTAGGTCGGTGTGGAAAGAAAGGATCTTGTTAGGAAGACGGGCATTCGAGGCACAAGGCGCAATTTGAGCAAGGGGAAAAAAGTTCACAAAAAAAAAGGAAAAAAAGGTCACGTAAGTTTATGCATTCAAGCGCCATTGAGAGGTGTGGCGTACTTCTAGGTAGCTGTCCTCTGAGGTGTGCTAATATGGCTACTCTCCTTGGACGGGTAGGGGACGCACACGGAGGACACCGCAATAATTAGGCTCTATGACAGAAACGAGCAGCGGTTGGGTATTTGGCTAGGTTTAGGGGCGTGGCTTTGAGGGGAAGCAGCTAGATTGGACCAGCTTGAGGCCCCGCCCCACACCTCTCTAAACCAACTCCCTTCCACCGAGATCAGTTGCTGGAGAACACCAGCTGGCCAGAACACACCAGCGGCCAGAGCACGGTGCAGCCAGAGGTACGGGTCAGCCGAGAGGGCGGGGAGGGGTTTCTCCTTTGTCAGAAACTAGACTTTGAAAATTTTATTGTTAAGTACGAAATTGACGCTAATACGTCTGAAAAACATCTTCCTTTCAAAGAATTAATCATTTTATTTTTACTTTCCAGCGATTTTTCACAGGTTTTTCAACCTTACTCGTTTAAAACTCGGAGGAATAGTACAACAATTATGAACAGCCGCACTTTTGTAAGTATCAACGTAAATATCCAAAGTGATTTTGGATCATAGAAAATACCTGGAAACACGCTCTACTTGAAAATTATGTGGTACATTCGGTAATTTTAAAAATAGAAGGTATCACCAGCCTTGTTTCCTAGTTTTGCTTTGGCTATTCAACTTATGTTACAAAAGGAGACTGTAAATAAAATTTTTTTTCTTTGCTGTGGGACTTGGTATTTTAAAAAAATGTTTATTGTTATTTATCACTACTTCTATCGTGTCTGTGAGGTAAATCAGAAATTTGACTTCTAACTCTACCTGCAGATACTGGTTTTTACTTGTCCTAGGATGTAAGCATCACTTGAATGGTAGCATAATGTTTGTTTCTGAAATTCATCTGTCAGGAGATGATTTTCTAAAGACTCCTGTAAAATGCTGGTATTTCTGTTCTCAGAAGAGCTGCTGATTGTGACTTGTCGATAGCTAGAGGTGCTGCAGAGCACCTTATTAGGTGGTTGCCTTAGAGAAATTATGAAGGTCTTTGTGTAGCAGCATTTCACAGGCAGAACTCACTCACCCCATCAGCCACAGTGCTCTGAAGACATCTGTGATGTAAGTGCATGGACCTCTAAATGGCTGAACTAGATTTCCATAGTGTGCACACAAACATTCATCAGTTTATTTATAGGAGTGCCGCTCTAATCTCTGAGTCATCTAAAATTAATGTACAATTGTAATAAGCTCCTAACTAAGTCGGGTCTGAGAAACGACAAATCAGGGATGAGGTACATTTTGGCTTAAAGGTACACTGATAGCTGCTAGCAAAAGAGGAGAGGGTAAAACTGAAAAACAGAGGTTTTTTAAAAAAAAATTAGTTTGCAGCTAAGAAGCTATTGATAGTCCCTGAGTGTGTCACTAGTATAGAACCTTATAATAATGTTCTTAGGGTTTAACCCTTCCTTAATTCCAGTAATACCTACATCTGAATGGTATTTTACATGGTACAGAGAGTACTGTCACATGAAGTAGGCAGAGCAAAAAGTATTTTCCCAATTAAAAATAGGACCAGCTAAGACTCAGACAACATAAATGGTTTGCTCAGAACACACAGTAGTAAATGATACAATTGAGGTCTTCCAATGCCATTCTGTTTGGTCTAATCTGTTTGAGAAGGGAAAATGTAACACATTTTTAAAAGATTTCCAGCCAAAGTAACTGAAAATATTAAAGGGGAAAATGTTAGCTATCTAGAGACTTGCTTTGCTTCACCTCTTTCCTGGGGTATACTGGAAAATATAACCGCTTATTTTTGCCGGCTATATGAAAGATGTTTTTACATTTTGTACAGCTGTGATCCTGATAAGGACAGCATAGCAAAAAAAAAAAAAGGACAAAATGAATTTGCCTCTCTACACTTTAATTACATCTTATAAAACATGAAAATTCTTACCAACTCTGCTCTAGGTTCACCTCCTTAGTCCTGACAAACCCCTTGACAGCGGCTGCCCACAGACTGCTCATTTTCTGAAGGGGCTCTGGAGATTCGCTGGCCTTGATGATCCTTATGCTACCCTTTACCCTCATCCTAGTGTCTTTCTTTCTAGCTTTCTGGTCCTTTGAAACCCAGTTTAATCCTTATATGTGCTTTGAACAGGTTTCCACTCTGAAGAAAATAGTGACGTAGCCTATATGATGTCAGAGTGCACTCCATCAGTCATAGTATTCTAATCTGTGTCCTGTAGTATTTGCAAATAAAACGGAAAGGAGGGACAGGGAAAAGAGACAGAAGTAGGATCTTCATGATTTACCAGCTGATTAGCTACTAGTGCAGGGAGAAGGACGACTCTGACGTGACCAAAATTGTGTTTCTCGGTGACCAGGGGAAAGGTGTAGCCTTGATTAGTAATAGAGAAATCAAGAGCACTGGTAGTTTGAGGGGAAAGGAAGTGAATTATTTTGGGGAAAGGGGTTTAAAGTGCCACTAGTTCCGTGCCTTTCTCCAAAGCCACGTTCTGAATCACTGTGTTTTGTTTTAGACTCTGACAGTTTCCTGTCTCCCCGCTTCTCACTGCGGCCTATGAGCCTTCTCACTGCACGGAGAAGACAGACACTTGTCTTATATAAACGTCAGCTTTCTTCTTAAAATGTCTGTGCCTTCACATACGGCACTACTCCCTGATCTTTCGTGCGTTTGTGACTGTCCTGTCACTTTGCCCTGTCTGTGTGTCTCCCTCTCAGTCTATGTCTCTTCCTCTCTGGCGCTTTGCCTCCCACTGTCTTCTCCCAACTCACCTGTCTGATGTGGGGAAAACAAACTGTTTTCTTTTTCATAGGTTTCTTTTGCCCTGAGGAAAGGAAGAAAAAGCACAATCAACACTCATCTGCCTCTGATTCTCTCTCTCTCTCTCTCTCTCTCTCTCTCTCTCTCTCTCTTTCTGTCTCTCTCTCTCTCTCTCTCTCTCTCTCTCTCTCTCTGGTCTGTTTCTTGGTGATTCTTTGTCTCCTAATTTCTTGCCAATTTGTAATCTCACAATTCCATTAAAAACTGTCCTTGAGGGGCTGGAGATATAACTCAGCGGCACAGCGCCTGCCTGGCAAGCACAAGATCCTGCCTTCAGTTCCTGGTACCAAAACAAACAAGCAAAAACCTGTCCTTGAAAATGGCCACTTAATTGCCGGTGTTGGGGGGAACTCATTTCTTATCCCATTTGACACCATAGCAACACTTCTTTGAGGCTCTTGGCTTTTTTATTTAGCTGATACGTTCCTCTCATTTCTGCTTCTAGACACAGTTTTGCTGTTCTCTGTCCTTTGTGGGCCACTTGTCTAGTTTTGTCTAAAACTGACAAGTTGTGTATTATGTAAGCAGAACATCTAAATTTCTGCAGTCAGTCTGCAGCCACCCTCACTTCAGCTTTCATAATTTCCTTGCCTTTTGGGTTTCTTTGGTTCTCTGACTGACACCTGCCTGAGCTCTTCCCTGTTGGGCTGTTTGTTAAACAAGCTCCCCAACTTTTTTGCTTGGTTGATAGCTTAGTGTTTTTCAGATGGCCCGATTAAGAGTTCACCAGGAAATATGTATACTTTGATAATGAAAAACAAACTTTAAAAATACTTTTTCTGGTAAAGTTTTTTTTCTCTTTTCAAAAACTGGGAGAAAAAAAGCATGGGTAGTGAAAGGATGTTTGTTTTAGGTACAATCGTGTTTCAGTACATAATTTTTTAAAATTTTACATGACTTAGCATTTGCCTAAAACAAATTTTTAAGCCAGGTCTGATGGCTTGCACCTGTACTCACAGTATTCGCAAGAGGCTGAGGCAACAGGATTGCAAGTTTGAGCCCAACCTGAGGGACTTAGCAAGACTCTGTCTTGTGCCGGGGATTTAGCTCAGACATAGCACCTGCCTGGCAAGCACGAGGTCCTGGGTTTGATTTCCAGTACCAAAAAAAAAAGACCCTGTCTCAAAAAACAGGAGCCCAGACTGGCCTCGAACTCATGACAGTCCTCCTGCGTCATCCGCCTAAGTGCTGGGATTGCAGGCTTGTGCCACCAGGCCACATGAAAATAAAAAGGAGACTGCAGATGTAGCTCAGTGCAGAGTTCCTGAGTTCAATCTCAGTAATACTACCACCATCGCTAAATAAATAAGTGAATATTGATTACCACATTAGTATGCAGAAAGTCTTAATAGCAGAGGGCCTCTTAAACAGGACACTGGTCTTATTTGGATTTATAGTATTAGTGCTTATTTGCAATAGTAGTTTATATTATGACAAATAAAACTCTTTACGATCTTTTGATTATGAGCTGTGTCTTACATTTTGTGACAAGATTGCAACCTTTTGAAGGAAAAGAAGTTTGACCCCAAAATTATTTCAGTTTTGTGTTGTTCAGAAAAGATGATGTAAGGGAAAGCAACAATTACAACTTACATGTTCATTTTCTTTAGAAAGGTTTAATAGTGGCACTATTAGTGATCGAATCTTTAAGCATTCATTGAGATTATGGAATGGAAATCTTATTTCAGTTTTAAAGTGTTTTTGAGACTATAAATCATGGATAATATTATAGTGGGCTTGTTAGTCTGTCTCCTGTTGGTTGCATTGGTAATAAAATTTGTAACACTGATGTTTTTCGCCCCTTTCTCATCTAGTTCCTTATTTTAGATAAGTGGGATCATGGGTATTTCCAAGACCCAAAGTCTTTTTTTCTCCAAATTTACACAGCTCAGCATTCATTTGGGAAAAGTGCTAAAGTCAGGGCCTGCCTAGCGACAGATGGTGCTTTGAGGTTGGACACCTGGTGTACTTTCTAAAGACTGAATGTACTGCCTCCAGTGCATTACCGTTCAGGGACTTCAAGCGCTAAATTTCTAAGAAGACTATGAAAAATTATCTAGGAAGAGGTTGTACACCAGCACTGACAGCAGACTGCTGCTTTGTGATTCAGAAAATAGTAAATGTTTACTTTTTCTTTCCAGTTGCTGCCATCTTCAACTAATCGTATTCCTAGTAGCAGACTGCATCAAATCAAAAGGGTAAATTTTACTTACTAGCTCAGATCTAAAATTTTTGAATTTTACATTTTTACTGTGATTTTGAAGATTCAGCTGTTAAAAGGAGTCACAATGCAACTCTGGTCAGTTGGATACAGAATAAACTTCTTGGGATTGTACAGATCAAATACAGATGTGGCATTGTTGACTTTCTTAGAATGTTAGTTCTGCTCACCTGTGACTGTGCCAAATGAGGTAGAAAAGGCTTTTAATTTTATTTGGAATAGCAAACCACATGGATAAAAAATAATTTATTAGCACATATGTTTGTCCCTTGTAGGAAGAAGGCCTGGATATAATGAATAGAGAAACTGCACATGAAAGGTTAGTGCTTGGGGAGAGCAGTGTCTAGCCTCATTATGTCTTGCTTGTAAACACTGATGGCCTTTCCTTTTGCTTATTTAGGGAGGTGCAAACAGCTATGCAGATAAGCCAGTCGTGGGATGAAAGCTTGAACCTGGTAAAGTTTTCCCAGATTCGCTTATTTTTTATCTTCTAGAAATCTTTATGTCCTTCACTGGCTTTGTTAACTATTTCATAGATTTCCTCCCTGTGTGCTTCCAAACTGATTCTTGTTTTTGATTTCGAGTTTTCCTGCAGAATAGTAAAATAGAGACATTTCTACTCCTAGAACGTAGGTGTGCTGTGCTGTGAAAGGAGGAGCTGCTGTGCACTGAATAGTGAGGAGTAAATGATGCTTTCTGTTTACAGAGCGATAATGATTTTGACAAGCCGGAGAAACTGTATTCTCCTAAGAGAATTGACTTCACTCCAGTTTCCCCAGCACCTTCACCCACCAGAGGATTTGGAAAGGTAGGATCATTGATGAGGTACTAGCTATCTTTTTATACACCAAGCACTTTAGTGTCTAAAACATTTCATCCACACATCACCTCACTCTTAAAATATACAGTAACTTGAATAAAAATCTGAGCTTGAAGAATCCTTTGAAAACTAGAGAACAAGAACTCTTTTTTAATATCAAATATATTTTTTCTAGCAATGCTTTTCACCATCTTTACAAATGTTTGTGAGCAGCAGTGGATTGCCATCGAGTACTTTTGGAACTCCGAGACGATTTTCAACGTAAGTAAATTTGAATTTTAACTGTGATTAAAGTGCCACTCTTTACATTTATCTCTCAAATCAGTCTTTTCCGATGTTTTATTACAGAAATTTTCAGAGATGCAGCAAAATTGAAAGGATTTCACAGTGAACATCTAGAGTTCACCAAAGTAGTATAATGTATACATCAGGAAAAGAAAAACTTGTATGGTATTTTAATCCTGAATTCATCATGAGATTAATATACATTAAGTTTGGCCCCTACAGTCACAAAAGGTGCTCAAAGTGACAGCTATGTGAGCTGCCAGGCATCTATTTGTGTGGCAGAGTGCTAAAGTGTGAATACATTTTTTTGGTCAGACTCTGTATGTCCAATACCTGTATTCTGCCACTAACATTTCACCAGATTCTGTTTTTTGAAACTTTGTTCTGAGTTATATTGAGAGGGAACATACACACACACCTATATATCTCTCTTAAGGAAGAAAAATTAAGATTATGAATCACCCAAAATCCAAATAACTTTTTAATAAGGTATTTTTTCCTTTAAACTGTTTGTGGTATTTTGTCTTAGAGAATGATTTTTTAAATGGCTTTAAATGCCATGTTCTATATTGTCATCTGCTGGGTCAAATCACTTATCAGCATTCCAGTTACTCAGTCTATTACACAAACACTTCCTAGTTCTGTTTGTACAAGCATAAATTTTATTCATTCATTCATTTATTTATTTGGTGGGCTGATGATCTTGCATCTTGGATGTACTTCACATCATTCTGTTTGTTTGTTCCCTAAAGCCGGAGAAGTCAAAGCCCAGTGAAGTGCATTAGACCCAGTGTTCTTGGTCCTATTAAGAGAAAAGGTATGGAAAAGATGGTGACTGGTGGATAATAACTGTGTACTTGAAACCAGCTGGGAGAGTAGATTTTAAATGTTCTTATCACAAAAAGAGGTAAATGTGTTAACTAACTTGATTGCTGTCATCATTTTTCATTTGTATATTGAAAATATACATATACCAAATCACATACCCCTTAAATATGTCAGTTTTACCTCAGTAAAGCTGGAAGAGATAAAGATACATCACACTTGGTATTAAACCTAATGAAGCTGAAGTTAAAACCTTATGGTTTCTGTTTGAAATGAGCTCATATCATTTTTATCTTTTTCTAAACTATAAAGTGTTCCCACATACATTGTACTGTTCTGAGTTTTGTAAATTAGCTACCTGATACTGCCTATATTTTTTATGTCATATCTGGCTCATATCTATATTATTAGTATATATTCCAAAACTATTGCCTCTCATTGATCTGAATGTAAAAAAGATGCATCCCTGTTTTGTTGGAGAAATATATAATAATGTCATAATAAATATCTCTATAAACATACTGTATGTCCAAGTGTAAGGTAGATTTACCCCCATCACCATATTATACCTAAACACATTACTTACATATATAGAGTTTTGGTTAAAAACAGGTGCTTTTTTTAATTACCTTATTTTGAGCCAAAAAGGATTAATGTCCCAATCAGTACAATTTCAGATACTTATAGATGCATCAGATAGCATAAAAAATAAATTTTGGTTTAGTGATTATTCTTGAGGATAGGACTATATGATTACAAGATTCAAATGTTAATTAAACAAGAGTTTTACAGTGACTTTTAAAAAATGGTCCTGTACGTGATTTCTTTCTTCAGATCATCTTCAGGACCAGTAAACAAATTAAATCTCCTAATATGAGAAGAGCGGATATTTGTTTGCTTTAGTGAAATCTTTCCAGTGACAGGGTCACACATAGACTCAGACAGAACTATATTTTAGGCAACTTAAAATTAAAGGTGATGTGATCTGGAAAATAGATTGTAATGTGGTTACAAGGTTCATATTTAGGAATATGTTTATGTTATAAAGAACTTTTGTTTAATCTTGCAAGGAGCTATTTATAATCTTAAAGATATTTTGGAGGCAGTTAAGTGGAAATAACACATGGAAATAAAGCTGTTATTGTTGTTATCAACTTAATATTTGCAGGAAATTAATGGAATTAGAATAGGTTTAGTTTCATAGCTATTCCAAAATATACCAGCAGATGGAGGGATTCTTTGTTTAAAAAGGCTAAAAGTCTTTTGCTAGTGAGGTGGAGTTGAAACCTCTGCATATTTTTAAAACTGCATATTTATTAAAATGTGGCAAAAAGTAAATATACAACTTTCTCTGAATTTCAGTAATTTTTAGACTAGCTCCAGAGAAAAGACTACCACTAATTAATTAATTAGTGATACAGAAAAAATAAAAGTTATATTTATTCTTGTTTGCTTTTTTCTGTCATAAGATTCACATATAGTTCTAAATCAAGTTATTAATTTCTTCTTGGAGTACAAATGGACCCATGAATTAAAATGTCATTAACATTCTATTTTCAAGTGCAGATAGGGATTCAAAACCAAGTGTGTGCGTGTTTTAAATAACAGTATCACTTAACTTGGAAAGACGCTTCTTCTGTCTAACTTAGGATTGTCACACAACTTTCACTAGCTGATGGTAAATGTTTAGCATTATTCCTTTTGGTGCCAAGTTTTACTATTATTAACTCTGAGAAAATCTGTAGGATTGAGTTAGCCAGTATAGTACCACACTTGTTAACTGAATAATAATTACTTTCAAGTGTAGGTGTGTTTGCACACACACACATGCACACACATACTTTTTTTTTTTTTTTTTTTTTTTGTACCGGGGACTGAACTCATGACCTTGCGCTTGCCAGGAAGGCACTTTGCCACTAAGCCGTATCCCCAGCCTCTACACACTTATATTTTTAATCTTCATTTTCGGTATCAAAACCTTTTCCTTATACACTGTTTACCAGACAGCACATTTTTAACCCACTTGATGTTATCTCAGGAAATGACCAGATATTAAAATACATAAACTGGTGTTTGCTAACCATCTAGCATAAAATACTCACTGTGAACTTCAGCTATATGGAAATACTTTATTTTTACTGCTTGATCTTTATTTTGCTTGCAGTTAGCATCGTACTCGTTTGTTTTGTTTTGTTTTTTGTTTTGCTACCGGGGATCGAACTCATGACCTCGCACTTGCCAGGCAAGTGCTTGTGCTGCTGAGCTAAATCCCTGGCTGCATGATACTCTTAAAGAATGCAGGTATGTAACATGCTACATACACTATATGAGAAGTTTTTTTAAGGCTGCTGACTTTCTTGGATGAGGTATGTGAAAGTATATTTTTTATATTACAACACGTGGAAAAATAGTTAAGTAGTGACTTGAAGAAGTATTCTAAGCTTTAGTTAAACAAATACCATCCCGTTTTGACACCAATCTTGCATTTATTTGTAAAATCATTTTACAGTAAGTATTGTGTTTTTCTGATGCAGGTGAGATGGAGACTGAAAGCCAGCCCAAGAGACTCTTTCAAGGCACCACCAACATGCTCTCTCCAGATGCGGCACAACTGTCTGATCTCAATTCATGGTAAAAAGTGAAATAAAATCAGAAGTGTAAGTGGGTCTGACCCACTTGAAAAAAAAACACTGTTGAAAGTATTGAGATAATTTAAAAATGCATTCAACTTTTTATCCATGTTCCCATGGAAGGGCATTCTGGAGATGAGATAGTTTAGATACAGGTATTTTAGAATAACCAAGACCATTACAGAGCCACAAATGCTTCTTTTGGAAGCGCACCTTCCTTTCCATTCCCAGCTCCTGTTAGGTCCATTTCCTGGGGAGATGGGGAGGCACAGTGTATTAGCCGCAGCTGGCTGCCACAAGAAACACACTCTGGGCTGCTGGGATAGTGGGCAGCGATTGCAGCTGTCCCACTTGCATATTGCCTACTTTTGGCTTAGCGGAGAAGACCAGCATGGTGCTCTCTGAATGGCACGATCTGTTGTATGTAATGTTTTTGAAAATTTGGGGGTGTTCCATCACAGTACTCACTAAGGTTGCATTTTTAACACTTGCTGATTCTTATGGTCACATCACAGAACTATTAGTCTTACCCATTATAGGCTAGGTCTCTAAAGTTAAGAGCCTTCAGCATTTTTCTTAGGCTTGAAGTTGACTGCTTGGATGTTATCTGAGTGAAATCAGAGAGGTTAGTTGCAATAACCAGGAAATATTGTAAGATCTTTTAGGATGCTCTAGTCAACTTGCTGAGTGTCCATGTTCTGGACACAGTTGTGTAATACCTTTTAGAATTTTTCTGCTCCCTAAGTTTTATAGCTGAGAATCTTTTTAAAAAATTCATTAGAGTACTCACGTTAAAAATGATACCCTTTAACTAGAAGAAATAGGGAAGCCACTTATAAGGTATAAGGACTGATGCTTCCTTCATTCCAAATAACTTTATCATTTTGTGTAAGATAACCCATATTTCCAGTTGCCCAAGGAGTCACACGTTATTCTTGTTTGTTAAACTGACTGATCTGTACTGTTGTAATCTTGGATCAGATTCCTTTTAGATTGTTCTAGCTATTTTCAACCCCACAGTCTCTTTTTGTCCCCATCTCTGTGTCCTTGGTAGCTTAGTGTGCTAATTTTGGTAATGCCTTTCCAGGTATGTAGATGATTGCAAAGAGCAGTGTCCGAAGCTTGTCAAGAGGGCTAACATGTGAAACTCTATACTCAATGTGAACTGCATATTGCTTTTATGGTAAAGTGTATTTGAATACAGGTACATGACTATAAATAGATTTTGCTTAGTCAGTTACTTACCAGGTAACCAAGTCAAGTATAAGGTGGCAGCCATTTGGAAGCTAAAAAATGCAGGGTGAGGGACTCACTCAGTGGTAGAGGACGCCAGTTTAATCCTCAGCATAACAAAACAAATGAATAAATAATGTTTGAGTTGTTTTTATTACTCCCAGTACTGGGGGTTGAACTCAGTAAGCTCTGAGCTACATTCCCATCCCACTTTATTTTATTTTATGACGATAAATAAAATGACAAGGTCTCACTGAATGGCCCCGGCTTGCCTCAAACATGAAAAGCTTCTGCATCAGCCCTGTAGCTGGGCTTGCAGACATGTGCCACTACACCAGGTTGAGGTGTATTTTTGTATTGTCTTAGGCTGACTGCTGGAGGCTATAAAACAGGCTCGCACAAACAAGAAAGCCAGGGAAGCTACAGAGCTTAGCAGTGGTCCTCACTCCATGTGTGGGCATTTATTCCTCTGAGCAGTAGCCTCGGCCATCCATAGAGTGGCTATTAGAACTTGTTTCATGAGTGACTGCGAGAGCCCTGGTAACACCGAGATCAGTGATGAAAAACTTTTGACCTTTAAATATGCAAGGATGTTGCTTCCCGTGGGAGAGCTGTGCTTTATTCATGACCACTCATAGAGTGCCAGCGTGTGGCCCAAGTAATCTGTGGTAAAGAAATGTTTTCCTCAGAATTGATGGAGTCTAAATGTTAAAGGCACTTAAGTACTAGTCAGATGTGAGAACATGTGCCTGCAGTCCCAGCCACTCACGCGGCTGAGGCAAGAACATTGCTTTAGCCCTCAAGTTCAAAATGAGCACGCTCAACAAAGCAAAAGCCCATTTCAAAACAGGCATAGTTAAAAAGTTAAGCAAAATTTCAAGTCATGCTTTTAGTCACTTTGTAATATCTAGATTTCTGAGGTTATGACAGCTTACAGTTGTGCTAAGAGTTTTAGGGCACCTTATATACTAACAATGCTGACATACATGCCTGCAGTAAAGAGGCTTTGCAATGAATTACTCTTTTTATGTAGAGCCTGGACCCTGCTTTCTTAGAAACTGTTCTTCTCTCTCTTACATGCAGTTTCACTGATCAAAATCAGACATCCATATTTTTAGCAAGGGAGACAGAGTTACAAACCAGCTGTATTCTAGTTTCCATTGCCAAGAATGGCAGTCTACTTGATAATGGAACTAATGAAATGATTTTTATACTACCTTTTAGAGAGCAGATAAAGAATCAAGTCATTAGCAGTTATCTCATTGTTTTAATCTTTATGGTTTGTTCTCTGCCCCACCCTGCACAGAAATGGAGTAGATAGGTTTTACAGCCTTTATATTTATGTGCTAGATAATAATCTTTAAAACCTGGCATCTTTGAAGTATAAATGAAATTTAAAATTTGCGTATAGACCCATTTGGAATTTGTCCAGTGAAGCATACTTTTTTATTTTATAGTGTTGTAGTAAATAAAAATGTTCAAATTGTTACCAACCACATCTGGGGAATGTCACCAACCATAGTATAGGAATTATGTCATTTCTGTATTTGGTGCTTGGGGACATCCCAAGTTAGAGCACACATTTGAGAAGCACACCTTTGCATGGTACTGGGGTTCTTTTTGCATGTTGGGAACTCTTACTGTGCTCCTCATTCTGTTGGGAGTAGGACTATATGTACATACAGTATGTTGTATCAAAGGGGCTTTCAGGCCCCTGGCCCTGGAGGTTAGTAATAATAATAGTTTATGTTTCATAGGAAGAGTTCACCTGTGAATTTCCTTGCCCAGTGCTTCAATCTCTTTTTTTCTTTTTTCCTTTCTTTTTTTTTTAGACAAGGTCTTGCTCTGTAGTGCAGGCTGGCCTAGAACTCACTGTGTAGCCAATCACTTAGAGCCAAGGCTGGCCTCACACTCATGATCCTTCTGCCTAAATCTTCTGAGTTCTGGGATTACAGACATGTGCCACCACACCCAGCCAGTGCATCAATTTTAAAACAGTGTTTTATTTTTAATTTCTTTCTTTTCTTTTCTTTTCTTTTCTTTTCTTTTCTTTTCTTTTCTTTCTTTCTTTTTTTTTAAGACAAGGTGTCACTATATAGTTCAGGCATGGCCGTAAACTCACTACATAGCCCTAGATGGCTTTGAATTAGTGTTGATCCTCCTGTCTCAGCCTCCTGAGTGCTAAGATTACAGGCATGCACCACCACACCCAGCATGACTATGTATCTCTGCATTTTATATTAGAGTTATCTTAGTGGTTCTAGTGTACTAACATTCTTAATGCTATATGTGTCATGGCTAAAATCCATCATCATAAATACATGACAGTTGTAAGAAAAGTTTTAATCATGATTTATTTAATAAATTAATAGAAACATGTACATACATAGTACTATAGAGATGCTTATATGGGCAGTTTAAACGTCTATACTAATACATTTAAATTCTTCTTGACAAGATAACTAGTAATGATCAGATTGAAATATGTGGTCTTAAAAACTTGGACATTATTTGGAATGGTAATGCTAGGCCTTTCTAATGCCAGGGAGTAGACACAGAAGTCATATGTACCAGTTCAGCTCTTACAAAGGGTATGGGGGTGTCTATAATCTCACTTTATACCATGAATAATCTCTAGCGTGTTTCCAGCCTGCCATTAATATGATAAAACCTAGCTTATTGGTTGGACAAGGTACACAGGGACTCAGAAAGATGGCTGATTGCGTGAGTCACACCTGACATCCTAGTTTTGCCCTTAGAATATTTTAATGATTGGCTTATACTATACTTTCAGTCTTTGTGTCTCTAGACTGAGGGTACTGCTTGCACAGTCATGATATTTCCAATTCTGTGGTTCTAGTATTATCTCAAAATGTCTATTCAGTGGCTGGAATGAATTCGTTCCCTTTTGATTCACGTGCTCCTATTCCAGTGTTAAGTTGTCTAAGTCCTTTGATTTTTCTACAGTTGCAGGCCATTAGTGGAAGTAAAGCTTATTAAAACCTCCAACGAGCTTAAGCAAGGAAAAGAAGAAGTCGAATCACAACAGACTTTGTTGCTGTTAGAAGCTCTGGCATAAGATTTAATAGTGGTCAGTGTGAAAATATGTGTAGTCATCTGAGTGGATTAAAGAACTATGTAAGTCTTACCTTTATATGGATAAGAACTGGGTGACTTATGATCTGTAGTTTCTGATTCCATGCCGATATGTAGTCATGCCAGATTCATTAGAACAGAAAGTAGTTTTTAGTTTAGTAAAAATGTCTAGATAAAACTTTACCAAGTCCTACGTCTAAATTGCAGTGGAATCTAAATATAAGTATGCTATTTTTTTGTAAATCAACAAAATTATATATAAATAGAGAAGAAATTCTGAAATAAAATGTTCAGGATTTTTAATAATTTTTAGTTAAGTTCCTCAATAGTTTATTTCTTTTAAGGTGATCAATAGTGTTAGTAGGAAAAATTTCACCACAAGAGTCATATTTTGTTTTTGAATGAATTCAAGATTCACCCAAACACGCAGATGCTAATCCAAATGGAATCTTTTAACCCAGGGCTCACCATAAGTCTCGTGGTTGGAATAAAGATTTCTTTATTTATTTTCAGATTATCTGCACAGTGGCCAAATTTTAATCTAAACCTATTTCTTCCTGCCAAGTAGCATGGAGCATGTCCTTCGGCTGCCCAGCCAGTACGTGCTTTAAGAAATTAAATTCATTTTAGTATTAGTCTAGGCAAAAAGCTGCAGGAGGAAAAATCATATATGTTCCAAAGGCAAACAGAAAGGTCTTTTGATTTTTCCAGTGTCTTGGATTATCTGTGTAACTCTCTTTCAGTAGTTTGAATAATTCATATTTTAGACCTATTTTGCTACTTGGTTGAACAAATGTCAGAGCCAGCTAAATTTTCCAAACTTCTTACTTAAAAGTCACATTATTAATGATGCATTTGACAGCAATGAGCATAATATAGGAGTAGTGTGGAATATACTATTTCCATCTTTATTTTTGCTTTTCCAACTCCTATTTGTAGTGTTTCCATCTAAAAACCCACAAACAGTAGAAATAAATGCCATTTGGGGCCTGGGGGGATAGCTTAGTTGTAGAGTACTTGTTTAGCATGCTGAAGGCACTGGGTTTGATCCTCAGCATTGCAAAGAAAAAGAAGAAGAGGAAAGAAATTGTATTTTAAAAAATAATAGGGAAGAAGGGGGATTATGTTTCACTGAGGGTGGTATAGGGCCCAGAGGCTTCCAGATGTAACATAGATTACATGACACCAGAAATACATTAACTGGAAAACTCATAAAATGACAATATTAAAAACTCATAGCATTTAGAGAGTCTATTTTCTGTAGAACAGAATGGACTTTTACAAATGAGTCTAGGAAACAATCCTAAACTAGAACCTGAATTTCTTGATTCATCATTCCTTTTCTAATCTTGTGCTTTTTTTTCTATTTAAAAGTAAAAAGCTGGTCTGTGCAAATTTTTAAACTGCCTGCCTACCTCTCCAGCTTTGTGTCTTACTGTGTTCTCTTTACCCCTTTTCTTACAGCCGGACTGGCCTGCTTTTGATTTCCTCCCAAGCCCTCCCTAGTCAGTGCCTACTCATCTCTCACATTACAGTGCATATAGCATCTCGGAGCAGTCCTTTCCCTGGTCCTGCAGGTTAAATACATTTACCCATATGTTAGACTCTCATAACCCCTTGTAGCTTTCCTTTATTGCTTGTACCATAAATTACATTTATTAACATGATTCGTTAGATGTCTGTCTCCCCTCCCCACTGTTCTGTTCTGTAAAATCAGTGAGAACAGTGACCATGCTTCTTTCACATCCTTGTCTCTAATCTCAAACATACTTTATGCACTGGTGAACGTTCAGTAAATATTAGAATAAACAAATGACAAGTGAATTCAGGGCCCACAGAGCATAGGGTTTATGCTTTGGATGGATCGGGATCAAAGCTGGAAAGGAAGCTTGATGCCAAATTGTGAAGGCTCTTGGTTCCATACTGAAACCAAATTTATGAGGCAGGTAGCCTGGTTGTTGGGAGCAGTGAACAGCACCTAGACCAGAGGGGAGGTTATCCCTAGAGTGTAGAGGCACTTGGTGTCTAGAGCAGTTTGAGTGGAAGGATCTGAACAGAGGTCAGTCACCAGGTTTGAAGAGACAGAGAGGACCTGAGAGTATTAGGACTGTGGGTAGAGTGTGGCTTACATTTCAGAAGCTTACTTGGAAAGTAAAGTGAGAGATCAAAGAAAAAGTATTTTGCAGATAGTAGGGTGTCCTTTGCGGTTGGAAAGCAGGAAGAAAGGAAACAGTATAAGGAATTCATGAAAAAGAAAAAACATGAAAGACATGCCTAGAGGGACAAATCAGAATAAAAAATGCATTCGATTTGAAGGCCCCTGAGGAATGAGCAAGTGGTCAAGTCCAGGGTAGTTGAAAGACTTTTATTTTAGAATAGAGGAACTAGAAAGCAGTATGCTTGGTGGCAGCCTTCACCCAGTCCAAGAATGGGCACCTCAGTACATAACCATTCCTCTTACTTCAAGCCCGATGGTAAGAAGATAAATAAATAAGGACTGAGTTTCTTGAGCAGGTCAAGGAACCCCTTGTCAAACCATGGCTCGTCAGGAGGAATAGTTACTGTGTGGTGCACAGCATTATGTCTCTGAGGCAGGGGTGCTCAGGTGATACGAACTTTAAGTCTTTGAATTTTTGTCATTTCATAATTTCACAGGTTTCTCAATGTGGTACATTGTGTAGTTCATTGCTGTTGCTTTTATGCTTTTTATTATTTACAAATGCTCTACCAATGCGTGAGGCCTTGAAACTGTGTTGTTGCATGTTATGTTTACCCTGATAGATGCATTGGCTTATAATTCTTTTTGCTTTGTCCTCAGTCCGGATGTTATGGATGGCAGTAGTAGCAGCAGTGGCTTATCCTCAGACTCACTGGCTACAGGCAGCGCTCCCGCAGAATCTCCAGTAGCATGCTCCAATTCATGCTCTCCGTTCATCTAGGTGGATGATCTCTCACCCAAGTGACTTGCCCATTTCTGACTGTTTTAACTGCTGTTTCCCACATAAAACATTCTGGGAGGAAAGCAGATAACTTTGGTCCGTAATGCGGATTAAAGTCTGACAGATGTCAACCATTCTGATGCTGTTGTTTTGGGGCATCTCTTTCCTCTAAATTTCGATTTTCTGAGCTTACTAATAGCTGGTTTTGCTTATCTCATTTTGCGTCTAGTGACTAAATCTCAAATACTCATTTTTTTAATCACATAGAGGATTTTTTTGTCTTGGTACCTCAGTGAACACCTGTTTTCAAATCTGTGTGTTTAAGAAAGTCACTGATGGCTATTTTCTATAATGGTTCTTTTCCCCCAGCAGTGATACAACAGAGTTGATCAGAAATTCTCTTGCTTGAGAGATTTTTTTTGTTCTCTGTGGATTACATACTTTCCAATCTCTATTTCATAGTGATATACAAGTTGCTTTTGATTATATTGAAATTTTATTTTTCTGCATTGGCTTAAAGTGCATTATTTTGTTTCCCTTCTCTGTCTGAGCTGCTTCCTTGCCATTCCTCACAACAGGGAAGAAACATGTAGCTGCTTCCATCACTACCCTTACTGCTTCTTGCTGTTGGAGTGTATGAAGTGAGCGTTGATTTAATATCAAAAATGTAATTGCACTTACAGGATTAGTTACTGCAGGTCCTTATGACTTTGATGCCACAGTTGATATGTCTCCCCTCAGATCTGTAGCCCTAAGGAATATATAAAATATTGTTGATGTTTTTAGGTGGTGTTACCAAGGAGAAGAAATTCCTGCCTTGACCAGATGTGTGGAGCATCTACAAATGAACGAATAATGTTCTTTACACAAAACCACTGTGTACAAAAGCAGGCATCTGTGGAGCTATCAGTGTTTCTGGTGGTATCATGAGGCCTTAGGCGCCTTGGGTACATCACCATGCTAGAAGGAATTTATATTGTAAGGTCGCATGGAAAAGGAGGCTTTGTGTGATTGCCACATACTGTTTTGTTTGCTGCTTTGTTCTGACTCTTTTTTGTCATTGGATTTGTTTGTTTTGTTGTGTGGTGATTGGTGTTTTGGTTATCGTGTTGCCTCAGAGTAGGAATCCAGTTCTTATTCATTCCGTGTTATCATACAAGCAGTTTACTATCTGTAAGGAAGCTTTTAGGAGTTGAAAAAGTCAACATTAGCGTGCATTCTGCTTAAAGAAGCTGTTTGAACCATAAACAGCCGACATGCTAGTAAGTGTGAAGTACCAAATGTTATTTAACTTTTATTAGAGAAGTCTTCTGAGTGAGTCATTTAAGCACTCTTGAGTGTAATCTAATGTTATGTTAATGTACTATTTATTTCTCTGTGTAAATGTCTGTTTTGATAAGTTTCTTTCCATTTAGACATTGGGTATGGAATGTCTAGTATGCACATGTACACACTAAGATCATAATATTCCATTTTAAGTGAATGTAAGAAACGAAAACTACTGCACTTGTATCTTTTGAAGGCAAAGATTCTTGGACTTGAAAAGAAAATGGTGTGATTTGAAGGCACTTAGAAACTAGTAATAGTTTGAAGGGAAACCCATTCTCTTAATTACTAGAGAGCATCGCTTGGCTTGCAGTACAGTGATTTTATCACAGATTCAGATGTGTCCTTTCTTTTAAATTGTAACCAGCACCATAACAAGCCTCCCTGACTTTAGTTCCTGGGTCATTTTGCCTGTGCAACATGCATAATCTGCCAAGCCTAGCATACAAAGCATCTGTTACGAAAATTGCCCCCTTGTATGCCATTTCAAAGAAAAAATTTCTTTGATGGTATTCAGTGTATCTATTCTATCTCTAAAAGGACCATGCTAAGATGTTTTTGTCCCTCTGATGATAGTAGATGGTTTTGTCTTTCAGGAGATTTGTCTGCTTTCACTCTACTTTCTTATTTGCCTTAAAGGGACACTTGTAGGTTCTAACTTAGGACTATTAAGAGATAACCTTTGAAATGTGGTGATCTTTACATTTATTTTTGAAGTTCAGTGGTGGGATAGAACTTGAGGAAGAAATTCTTACAGCGGTCAGATTACCAGGAGACAGGATAATTGACTTTGTTCAAACCAAGGTTCATTTTTATTCGTTTTTGTACAGATGGACTAAAGGCTGGACATAGTGGTATCTGTCATCCCAGGTAATCGAGAGGTTGAGACAGGAGGATCACAAGTTTAGCCTGGCCTGGGCAAGTCCCTGTCCCAAAGGATAGGGTGAGTAACTCAGTAGTAGAGCACTTGCCCATCTTGTCAGTCTCCAGTACCAGGATAAACAAATGGACTAGAAAGTTAAGTTTGTGCAAAGATCGTTCTGTAATAAGAGATATGCTAGCCCACAGATGAGCTTTGTTGACAAGTATCCCTTTATTTTTATATAAAGTCTAATATTTGAAAAGTGGTTATTGTTATAAAGTAAAATTCTCTCTTCTTATTCTAATATTATATCATATATTCCAAGTTTCTATTTGAAAACAAGTATGAGATGTTATACATTAGGAAAATCCTATAGATACTGTTTTGGCTTGATACTTAATCACTATGTTTCATAATGGCTTTTGGAATAACAAAGTTTTGTGAAATGCTGGCCTTGTGTATATCTTAGAATGCAAAATTAATAAAGTACATGCATAAAATATAGTATTTAAAGTCTCTTCTCAATTGTTTTTTATTTAATTCTCATTGGTTATCATTTTCTGCCTCCCTATCTCAATAGTTCATTGCCTCTAAGGGCAGGTCAAGTTGTAAGTAAAAGCGTATCATGAACACAAAAGAACTATTAGCTATACTGAAGTTTGGGCTGTTTCCCCAAAGCGAGATCTCCACATAACCAGTCAAATTTTTAACAATATTTTGTAGTACTTGAAAATTTAGGTTTTTGCCAGAATTACACATATTTCTTACTTGCTTTCAATTTGATTTGTCTTCTTCTGTTTTTATGTACTTATAATCTTCTATAAATTATTTTTAGGACAAGATGAGGTGGTTAAACATACAAAAATAAACTTTACGTATGACTCAGGTTATAAATGCTCCATTGTATTTTTAGTATTAAAAATGGACTACTTTCTTGTTAATTTCATATTCACAAAAACATTGCAAAAAATAGCTTAAAGAATTTCCATATCCTCCACCCAGGTTTCCTAATTGTTACATTTAGCCACATTTGCTTTATTCTGTGTGTGTGTGTGTGTGTGTGTGCACGTGCGCACGCGTGTGCACATTATCTGAGAAGTTCTGATCCACATAGTAAGTCGCATATGCAACACTTTGCTACCCTTAAATGCTTCAATGTCAATTTTCTAAGGACAAGGACATTCTCAGTAACCTCATTAAAACTATTAAAATCAAGAAAAAATTATTTCATGGGCCCAAGATTTAGCACAACAGCATACGTGCCTGCCTCATAATCATGAGGTCATGGGTTTGATCCTTGGTACCAAAACAAAGCAAACAAAAAGCTTACCGATTCATTCCAATTTGACTGTGATCCCAGTAATGCTTTTATTAGCAAGTGGACAAATTTTTTTCTTATCCAGGATTAATCTGAATTCTGCATAATTGTTATGTGTCTAGTCTTCCCGAGTCTGGAATTGCCCGTCTTTCCTTTTGTGATCCTCACAGTTTTGGGAAAAAAAAAAACCAACCAGTTATATTGTAAAAGGTTCCTGAATTGGGCTATGTTTCCTCATGAGGAAATTCAGGCTATGCGTTTGCGACAGAGACACAGAAGTGATGACATATCCTCGGTGTATCATTTCATGATGCACATGGTGTCTTTGTTGTGTTTTTAGTATTGGTTACTTCGATCCTTGGTGTCTCCACTGTACATCTTTTCCTCAAAGGATTTAATAAAGTATTTTGTGTGGAAATACTTTTGAGAGTATACACTACAAATATTCTGTTTTCTCTTTTTTCACTGAGAAGTTTTAGTATCCACTGATTTTTTGTTTTGTTTTGTTTTGTTTTGTTTTGCCCCCGGGGATCGAACTTACAACCTCACGCTTGCCAGGCAAGTGCTTACACTGCTAAGCCAAATCCCTGGCCCTCATTGGCTTTTCTTGCCCAGCTTTATTTTGATACCTACTTATAGTAGCTCTATGTAATTGTCTCACTCCTACATGTTGACCAATAGCCTACTGTAAAGAACTCTCATCCCCACCATTTATTGCATCTGTGTGGACTCATGGAATTGCTTCACATGGTAGGTTCTTATTCATTACCATAATTATTCTGATATGCAATTTGTCTCAGATTTGGACAGTAATAGCCCCTCTAAGCTCATTCTGTGTCCTGTCATTTTGGGACAGTTTTTTACTTTTGGGCACAAGACATCTCACATTTATAATTTTTGTTTGCTTTCTGTTGCTGGGGTTTTGGAGGAAAGACAGGGTCTTGCTATGCAGCTCAGGCTGACCTTTAACTCATTTTGTAGCCCAGGCTAGTCTTGAACTCACAGCAATCCTGCCCCAGCCTCCCAAGTGCTGGGATTACAGGCGTGCAGCACAATGCCTGGCTCATTTATACTTGTCCCCTCCCTGGAATCAGTCATTTCTCTTAAGGATGCCTGATTCCTTTTAAAAGAGATTTAAAAGCTAGGCACAGGTACAAGGTGTGATCTTGCTGCTGGGGCATCTGTGTTTACAGAGCTTTGCAGCACAGGAAGCATATGACTGTGAATGTACATACACTATGTATTTGTGCATGTGCACACATGTATCTCTGTTCAGGAAAAAGCCATGAGCTCAGACTAGTGCCTCTGATTCAAACAGCATCTCAGGGTTTTGTTCCAGTGCCCTCCATAAGCATTTGTAACCTCATACTCTGACCTCTAGGAGGAGCATCAAGCTTTGTGTTCCAAGCATTCCTGAGGAAAACGCATGAGGAGTCCTAGTCAAGGAGTCCCCCTCAGTAACCTTTATTAATATATACGTAATGCCTTACCCTTTCTCTATGGCACGAAATAATGTTTTTCCATTTGTGATAGTAATTTGAAGTTCTCCATTGAAATAAATTTAGCAAATAACATTTTAAAAATATAGCAGAGAAGTTAATTTAAAGAAATGATTATATTAACAATGAGTGACATTTACATACGGCCAAAGTCTTAGAAGTTTATGTATATATCTGGATGAACATGAATCCAGGAAAATACTGGGTTGCGTTGGTGTGTGGAACTGTTGTGAAGAAGTTAAGAACTTCAGTCTGTGTGGAACACTCGTGAGGTTCCTTTTTTGGATTCTCTTTCTGAGGTTCTCTTCTGGGAAGTGTGATAAGAGAGGTCTGGTATTTCTAGTCCTGAGAAAATTCCCCCTTGCTTGTTTTTATTGCAGGGAAAGGGGCCTTAAGACCCCTTCAGATCTGGTTTGCTTGCTTATCAGTTTGACTAAAAGACAGCTGAAGTCAGAGAGTTTCCCTCAGAGGAAGTTTGCAGTCTGACTCCCCGAGGCCTGTTGCTATGGGTAAAAGAATTTTACTAGTCTAACTCCCCTGCATTTTTATCTCTGTCCAGGACCCATGGGTTAAGGTCAGGAATTCTAGGATTTGTAATCCTGACCGTGTATACTTTCTCCTCATAGACAAAATTAACTCCCAGAGCAGAGGTCTTCTTTTTTTTTTATTAACTTTCTTCTTTATCTTTTAAGAAGAAATAATTTTCATAATAAAAAAATTTCCGACCTCATAGAAGTGTTAAAAGTGAAAAACACAAAAAGACTTCTCTCCCCCACAGCCTTCTTATCCATAACAGGAAAGCTTGATTTGTGTCCCTGATCAGCTTTTTCTATACATATGTAAACATATTTGTAATAGATGTACATGAACATTTTAGGACCTTTGTAAGGAGCTGAGAAATGCACCCAGGGCCCGTGTGTACTAAGCATGTGCTCTACCACTGAGTTATGCTCCCAGGCACTTACAACTTTTTTGAGGTATAACATACAAAAAAAGGTACAGCCTGGAGAGCGGGGTGTAGTGAGACACACCTGTAACCCCAGCATTCGAGAAGCTGAGATATGAGGATCATAAGTTTGACATCAGCCTGGGCCACACAGGCAGTTTCAGAGCGGCCTGACTACTGAACAAGACTCTGTCTCCAAAAAATTATACAACTTGAATTATCACATAATGGATGTTAAACGGAAGGTTCTGTGACTTGCATGATAGCTGTATAACATCAACATACATGTTTATTATGTACTTTTAAAGAGTAAATGGCCTGAATGTGCAGGCCATGTGCAGGCAGGGGATGTTATGTACTGCCTTCGAAGTTTTGGACTGTTCTGTGTAGGCCTGGGTTATGGTTATGTGGGTTTTTCAGTTTAAGATAGTTCCTTGAGAGTGCATGACTGGAGGTGAGCATTAGAAGGTGCTTGAAGAATTCTGAGATGATTTTTGTAATCTCAGTGGAGGGTTTGTGATCATTATTAGAGAGTAACTATGTGGTGGGTTCTTTAAGAATTCTGGAATATTCTGTGTTGAGCTAGGTAATGACTTATGAATTTATTTTTAGCAACTGTATAGTATTCCCTCCTGTGATTATTCCATAATTTAGTTCTCAATTGATGGCCATTTAGATTCTGTGTAATTTTAGTATACACAGGCACATGTTCCTGTATATTTATCCTTGTCTGCTTCTGTGTTTCTGCAGGATTCTTAGAAGTGATAAATTGTTAGGCAAACAGTTATGCATTTCATTCACTATTTTCCTTTTAGGAAGGTAAGACGAGTTCAGTATTAAAAGGAGCTGCAAGTCTTGCTCTCGTCCTTTACCTCCAGTCTCATCAGATCCCTCCTCAGAAGCAGCCTGTGTTATCAGCTATGGCAAGTTCTTGCAGAAATAGTCTATGCACTGAATAAGCGTTTACATTTTCTGGGTTTTGTTTTTTGTGTTGGGGGTGCTTTTTGAGACAAGGTCTTGCTATGTAATGCAAGCTGGTCTTGTGCTTGTTTCTCTAGCCCAGGCTGAGCTTGAATTCATAGGAATCCTCCTGCCTCAGCCTCCCAACTCCTGGGATTACGGGTGTGTTCCACCATGCCCAGCCTGCATTTACACATTCATATAGGCACTGCTGAAATCCATGTTTCCACCCTACTAAAAGTGTACCTGTTTATACTTTCACCTATAGAATATAAGAATTCCTTTTCTCTCCTAGAGATGATTCAATGGTTATGGAAAGACTTCAGTAAAAAGAACAGATTTCATTCATTCATTCATTGGAAATATTTTCACATACTACTAATTAAAAGATACAAAAGGTCTGCCTCCAACCTTCCCACAACAATTATGGTTCCTACACCCTAAAGCAATTTTTTTCAGTTTCATGTACGTCTTTACAAAGAAGGTTTCATATGCAAAAACTTACATCTACAAATTCTTTTTCCAAGATATTATACAATTAGCGTATTTGTATGAATAATTTCAGTGCAACTTTCCCATTCTTCACCCCTCAGAATCATGACAAAATAACAGTTGTTCCTTTTTTCTCATGAGTCTATGGTAAGATGGACAGTTCTTCTGGCCAGGGTCAGACTCAGCTGATCGCATCCCATTCGTTGATAAGTCATTTGAGGACTAGTTTGTCTAGGGTGGCTTTAGCTGGCATTACTCAGCACTACTCCATGGAGGAGCTCAGCTTCTAGCA